CTTCCTGCATTACAATTTTCAGCAGAACAGAAGTAAGAAAATTGGGAGTTGTGGTCAAACAATACCTGGAGGATATATTTTTAGTTACTTAAAAAAAAAACTGCAAAAGTACACCAAAAGAAGATACACTTGCCTATATTCTCCCCTTAATTTATCTTGCATTTGTTAGCCATGAAGTGTTCTATGTATAACTCTCAGCCCTGACCCATCAAGCTTTTGAAAGCTTGCCCAATTTCTTTCCCATTCAATGACAAGGTCTGATAAAATCTGATGGAAACATATTCCTTCCTGACAACACAGATCTGCATGCAGAACTCATTGAGAGCGCTTCATATTTGGGAGTTCATAGGAATATAGAAGTACGGATGACTTCTACAGAATGAGGCCATTGGTACAACTAGCTCATTATTTAGGTCATTTAGCTAAATTTCACAGAGCTCTAGAGCCCATTACAAAACCCATCTAGTAAGAGCTATCTATTCCTTCCAGCAACGTGGGGAACAGAGGAGGTACAAGAATTAAAAAGTAGGTGTCCCCAGCAGCTTTGGCTCTGGTACTACCTACTGTCTGCTCAGCCTGCCATGCAGCTCCAAAGAGATTATTAATGGTTAATCAGTGATAGTTCTCCAGGATTCAGACAAGTGTCTTTCCCATTTCTAATGATCTGAGCCTGAATCTGGGGCTTCCTGAGTGCAAATCATGTGTTTTAGGAGCGCGCTATAACCTTTTGATATGTTTCACAACTGTGTGCTGAGCTCAAAACTGATCTTGAACCTGTGCTCTGAGTAACTGTAGGTTTAGATTCAACAGATACATCACCATACACTTTTGGCCAACAGGAAATTGCAGTAAGTCTAGACTAGGGATATGAAATAATTTTGCCAGTAATCTTGGAAGAAACTGAATTGGGAGGGGTTGCTCCTAATGGAGTCATAGTAGGATGATAACAGAAAATGAAATCTGGCTACAATTCAACCTTTCCCCAAAAGAGCTGAGTCATTTTAGAAAGTGTACAAGGTGTCAGAAGCTCGTGGCCTTTTCTTCATTTTCACAGTGAAAATGCCTTGTTTGCTCACAGAAGCTCAGTGCCCGACCCAGAAACTGATTTACTTTTACAGCACTTCCTGGAATTATTTTATGACTATGAAATACATGTGAACCCACAGGAGAAGCAGCAGCCTATTACAAATACCACACTTGTGGAAACATTGTGAGATGTGTTTTTTGCTATGAAAAAGCCAATATTGACATCTTATATATTTGCAAAAGAAACTACTCCTTGCTATACATTGAGCTATACCTTTATGCCTAATATTTAAGAACGTAGACATGCATTTGACAGAATGGAATGGAAATCTAGCATGCAAAGTGGAAAACAAACTAAATGTACATCTATTTGAACATCCTTGGATTAGACATATCAACCGCCCAAAGACAACTTGTATCACTAAGCTTGAGTAAATCATCTACCACTCCAGTAAAATTAGATTTGCTTCCTGACCCCAAGCAAAAAGATGTGGTCGCACCCTTGAGAACTACAGTTCACTTGGGGCCTCTTTATACAGGAGCTAGACATTTGGATTCAGAGAAATCTTAAAAGAATGTTCTCCAATCACAATGATTCATTTTAAAATTGATAAATCAAATTCATTTGAAGGAAAACAGAAGAAAGCTATTTGATAAGAAAGCCATGATAAGATCAGTCATTTATTTATAAGATTTATAAGGCTGCCCAACTCACTGTGACCCTGGGCAGCATACGGCATAACCACCCAATAAATCAAAAAGAAGAACAACAAAACCATATAATAAACAGACAATATATAAATACAAAATCCAAAATGTAAAATGGTGACCAAGCAGACAACAAAAGAGCCACAGGGGGACACTAATGCCTGGGGGAAGTGCCAGGTCTTAGTGGCTTTTCTAAAGGCGAAAAGAGTTGGGGCCTGTTGTATATTGGGGGTGGGAGATTGTTCCAGAGAACAAGGGCAACCACAGAAAAGACACACTTCCTAGGTTCCATAAGATGGCAAGATTTACAAGGAACCTGGAGCGTGCTTTTCTTGTGGGAGCGTAGGGGGCAGGCGGATATTCTTGGAAGAAGTAACCCGGACCTACACCATGTATTACATGCACTCCCAGGTTCGGCTTATGGTTACACACTCACAGCCTGTTGAGGCATGCGGATCTTATAAGCCCTCCTTGCTTTCTACCTGGATTATCCAGATAGGTGAGGATAGAGCAGAGAAGACACACAGTCCTGGTCAACAGCCAGGAAATAATTAAGGACACGCGCAATCACTTTCAACTGAACACTGAGGTACCACAGGTCCTTTGGAATACACGGAGACCCAGTTAATTTAAAATAACAACAAAACTTTACTGGTTACAATGTACATTTGCTCTCACATGCACACACACTTGCACACTTACTCAATTCCTTATCAGCTAGGTTGTCAGGCACCAGCACAGTGTTCCTCAACCTCAGCAACTTTAAGATGTGTGGACTTCAATTCCCAGAAATCCCCTACCAGCATGCTGGCAAAGGAATTCTGGGAGTTGAAGTCCAGTTGCCTTAAAGTTGCTGAGGTTGAGAAATGCTGAGCTAGAGGGACAGAAGCCACCAAGTCTGGATCCAAAGATGACTCAAGAGTGGGCGGGCTTCAGGACCCCTTTTTATCCCTAAAAGTACTTGCTTTGTTGATTCACAACACTGGCAGCTACTCTTGCATTGTTAATTTGCAAGTCTGATAGCTGTTGATGGGATGGGAGGGGTTTCCCTGTGCTCAGGCCCAACTTCCTTTGTCTGGCTCAGGTGACATTTTTTGTTTGTTTCCTTAATAAGTTATTTCCTTCTTCTCTACCTTCCTGGAAACACAATCATAGGTAAGATTCCTGGCTTTTTGTTCTCTCTGGTTACGTGCCTGCTTCATTTTTAGTTATGGCATCTTCAGCCTGGTCTCACACATGTAGGGCTTTAAAGGCAATCACCAGCACCTTGAATCACACCCAGCAGTCTGTTGGGAGTCATTGTTGACTCTGTCACACGTTTGGCCCCAAACACTGCTGAATGAAAGCTGTTGCAGCAGCATTGCCATAGTTAGTGCTGTGCCAAACAGCTGCTCAGGAGCTTTAGGAGTCTTCAGCTGAATGGCAGTTCCAACTGCAGTGCTGCAGCACCACCAGCGCTGTCCATCCCAGCTTCACCAGGGCTGCCTCTCCTTGGACGCCCAGTAATCGGCACACGCTCCAAAGGCAGTCCTGACTTTCCGAAGCAGCTGGAAGCCAGCGCAGGGTCCCAACAGTCCATCAGGAGTCCAAAGCTGCCAGGATCAAAGCTGCAACCATTGGAGTCCGGGTAAGATGATCAGGAACATCCTCCAAAAAAGCAACATCCAAACCTCAAAACTGAACCCTAACCTCCACCATATTCTAAAACCAACAAAAAATCCCCCAGCCAACATGGTTGCCAGAGGAGGAGGAGGAGGAGCAGCAGCAGCAGCAGCAGCCGCCGCCATCACTATATCATCAGGAGTATAAAATATAGCAATTTCTAAATTCTCAAAGAGTAAAAGTATCATGCATTATTAAGGTGAATATGCCTGGAACAGAAACCCCAAAGCCATAAAAAAATGTGAAATATACTGTAATGGAGCTACATTTAAACCATCTGATTTATATCTACTGTATTTCCTCTGAATTATCATCTCACAATCCACTGAGAAATCAAGAAACATCACCCTCGTTCTGGCTCCACCAGGTAATCAATGATCAGTTCTGTCTTGGCTGCATACAGAATTTGATTGAGTCACCATGTTCAGTCACCATCAGCAATGAGCAATACCCCAACTTGTGAGATTCCACTTTGTCAAAAGCTGAGCTAACCATACTACCAGAGAGGGAATCATATTTTTTAAAATCTGAAAGAGTAACTTACAATGTAATGGTGATCTAAAACAGCCTTTATAATAGAACTCACAGGAAAACAAAAGTTGCAGCCCATGCTTTAGCTACTCAGGAAAAATGCAGGAGGATTAAGAAACAAGAGGTGGTATCACCCAGATCCATCATAAAAGACCTGGATAATGGAAAGGCAATTGCATTAGAAAGGTCTTCCCTATAAGTATCTCTAATGCTTATAAGAATCTCTAATGAACGAATGTAATAAGTCTAGTCTGAAAATCGGCAGTTGCATTGGCAGGGAAGATGGGAAAACTTCTCATTTAATGATGAATAGAACACTTTCAATTATTTTCCTCCTAACTACTGAAACTTGAAGCAAGCCCACACAGATGAGGCAGGCATGATCCTGCTCTTTACTTTTCTTAAGCCATTACTTCAACAGAGTTGGATAGCTCTAGAACTGGGTTCTCTCAAGGTATTCTGACAGGTATTCAGTTTACCTGTAGGAAAATGAGGGGGTAGGAAGAAAACAGCTATGTTTTCCTGCCCTTAATTTGGAGGGGTGGCAGAACTGATGCCTAACCTCAATCAGATGTTTCACCCCAGGCTATCTTAATTTCCAAATGTGTCCATTTCCAAATCCCCAAGTTTACTATGAATCACACCAGCCTCAAAGTCACTAGAACAACACAGATCCATCCCACATTGTGGTTATTTCATGTATAAGACGACGACAAAGATAATAATCTGAGAACAGGTGAATATGAAATTCAGATCAAGTTTTAACAATTACTACAAGTGAAGGCTGGCAGACAGAATGCACTGAGAGTGGGGAAAAAATTCTAAACGGAAGACTTCCTCAAGAGGACACGCCTGGGATGAATAAGCCTTTGAACACCCACTACATTCCTGAGTGTTCTCCATCGTTATTTAACTATCTTCCAAAAATAGTATTGTAATTTGTTTTGAGACATATACTCATATGGCACATATACTTGTTTTGCAACATATACTCATAATCCAGGTAACAGGCGTCTTCATATAAATCCAGAATCTCTTAAAGATGTTCCCTTAATTGGAGACATTTTCTGTTATAAGTTGAAGAGACATTAATGTGTAAGAGACAGTCAGGAATGGAGCAGCGTACAAACTTCAGTAATAAATGAATAAAGTTCCTATAAATCAGGCGACCAACATACTCAAGTCAATATCCAACCAAATACATCGAAAGCAACTCGGATAAAAGAGCAGATTACTTCTTTACCTTACTTCTTTTAACTTATTTATTTTTACAATATTGTAAACCATCCAATCCCCTAAGGCTCTTGGTTGTGAACAATGAAACAGGCATGAAACAAAAAGCAAATGAAGTTTGTATATTTCAAAGCAGCCACAGCAGGTTAAACACCTGCACTATGATCCAAGCCTGTAATATTGTTATATACAAGTAATGGACTACCTTTGAGTTTATTTTCAGGAAAGGAACAATCTCTATCACGAACATTTGAAGTTTTTCCCTAGGACAGAGAAATAAACCAACTTTTTAAAAGAGGGGAAACAGGGAGAGAGAGAAAGGTGTACTTGGTATTCTTCCTTCTTGAGGGGTATGAAGAGAACATGGACAAGATGATAGACCTTCTCTATAGTAGAGCCCAATCTTTGGAATCTCTCACAGAGGTATAGTTACTCTTCTTGCATTTCACAGGCAAGTAAAATCTATCTTATTCCAATTAACCTTTGGCTGGGGCATCCATCACAGCAATTAACCGTTTTATTATACGTTATGTTATTATAGAATAGAGTTCCCAGTGTCCATCAGGACTGGCATAGGATATTTGTGCTGTGAAATAAACACACATGCACACTTACATTCACATGTATTCTGTGACAGGTGTAGATGAATTGAGGAAGAAAAATAATCACAGTTAGTATGTAATTTAAGAAAACACTTGTGGGTTAATTCAAAGAAAAAGGAACTCACAGTATTGCTTATCATGCAGTTTCAACACTTCCTGAAAAAAACTCAAGTAACTGTGTTAGCAGGGTTTTTAAAATGTTTATTAAGTAAGGAGAAAGTTAAAACAGATGTTTTAGAACAGTCCCCTGAAAAATTCATCTCTTGTAAGTGCCAGTTGACAGTGTGGGTCTTCCCACTTTTCCACCAGAGTATACCACCTACATTACTTTCATGCAGAAAGAGAATGATAGATAATTGCTTTTTAGAGCCATGTATTGCTGTTCTTAGATGATGACATATTATCTTAACATATTCAGCTCAAGAAGTTTGCATCCTTGGAGTACATCTGTAATGGCGTGAGTTTTGAGGTTCATTCTTGATTTCTGAAGCTTAATCACTGAAGTAGTTAAAGGAGAAGGCTACTGCAGATATGGCAACTGCCACTGCCACCACCACTCCTGAACAAACAAACAAACAAACAAAAAATAGAAAGAGAATGCAAATTGGTATTTCAAATGAAATTTGCTTTAATACATCTCCAGCTAAATGCTGTATTTTTATGAGTTTAGTTTTGTGGTACATTGTTTATAGTCCTTCTCCTGTGGAACTGATCTGGGCTTCCTCAGGCAGAAGAAAAAGTATATTAATAAAATAAGGAGCAGCAACATAATGCTAACCACAATTGTGCTTACAATCTTACTTCAGCTTTCCTTTGCTTTACACACCTGAGAAGGTTGTAAATGTGAGGATTGGTTGCAAAGTTACTTTTTCATCACCACTGTAACTGCGATTGGTTGCTAAATGAGGACTACATCTCTATTTATTTATTTGTCTGTCAAATTTATATAGCCACCCACGTCACAAATGCAACTCTGGGCGGGCCATACAATCAAACCAACTATTAAAACAGTCTTAAATAACCATGAAAAACGTTTAGGCATAAATGTAAACAAGATTGCAGGAGAACGTGTCAGGGAAAGGATGTTAAATCGTATTCAGAAAGAAAATGACTACTTTAAGTAGAGCAAGAGCAAAGGCTGAAAGCCGCATACCCATATTTTGCTGTAGTTTCAACAGCAGCATTTCTTTTGTCACCTGCTTTGGTTGCATGTCGTCCTGGAATTCCTTTGGCAGGTTTACTTCAACTATACGGTTAAAAGGAATAAGACAAAAGCATGTGTTTGTATGTTGCCTAAACGCCATTTCTAAACCACTGTTTGTTTTCTTCCTCAAAAAAGAATATTTCAGAGCCCAAGCTGAAAAAACCAAGCCCGTGTATGCAAATTCATTTTGCATAATTTAATTTTGAATACAAGATATAAACAGTCCTGGGTCTTCTTTAGGCATCACTGCTATCAAAATCATGATCCAAGGCAGAACATTCAAATAACACACACAGAATAATGTTTTAAGACATGTATTAGTAATTATTAAATACCTGGGTCTCTGAGGAACTGAACCGGAAATGTGTGTGCACTATCCCTTGGAAGAACTTAGGAGAAGATGAAACAGTCATGGATTACTAGCCCTCCTCCCCATTTGTGTATAGCCAAATATACATGATTTCTTTCCCACAAAATTCTCCAAAAGATTTCCTGCATAATATTTAGCATCAGCAATTCTTTTACTACATACTGCTTATTATTATTCTAAATGCTAACATAAAACTATGTAAACAGAAGCTTTTACATATATCCATTCTAACTATAGAGGCAGCATGTACAACAGTTATCTCCCCAAATAAGGAACCATTAAAAGCAGGTCAATTTCCATGTGGGACCTTTTTTCTGAATGCTCACAGTAAATAAATATGATATAAAAGTAATGGGCATTTCAATTTAACAGACAGTGAAAACTCTACATAGCTATAGCAGATAAACAAGAGATGGTGTTAATCTATTTTGATATTCATTCATTTAGGCTGTATTTTCTGGACTGTTCACTTGAAGGATATTTAATAGCATTTTTCAGAAGAGAAGACTAAGAACTCCATGTTATGATCTGTAAACAAATACACTGATTACTAAAATCATGGAGTAATGATTCTGTACATAAGTAGACTACGTTTCTGTAGTTGCAAAATCTAAGAATCAACGAAATACATTCCACAAGTTAGTTTACTTAACACAATGGGGTATTTATCACTGTAACCAGTCAGAACTAGGAAAAATGCTTACTTATAAGAGAGCAGTTAAGAGGTATAATGATAGTACTGTGTCCCTTAGCTACTGGAAGCTCTACCCAGGTAAATTTCTACTAGACAATGTTGAACGTAAATTTTAGAATGGTGCCCTAGGACAACATGTCCCTTAGTTTTTACTTAGAAATAGACTTTATAGAAATATTCCCTTACAAATTTGAATATCCCACATGGCCATCAGGTATCAGAACAGGTACAAATGGAATCTGTCTTATTAAAATTGGCAAATAGTGTCATATTAGTTCTTTCTTAATGGGCTGTAAGCCATTAATGTCAATATAAAATGAAGTGAACTCAGCAACCTGACCAAATGGTTTCACACTTTTTTGTTGTTTTTACAAACCCTTAATTAATATCCATAATGGAGAATGAAGAAATACAAATGGAATTTCAAACTGGCAAACAAAGTTTAAGAAACTTCTTGCCCGCCGCCTCATCCAAATATATTTCAGTTTTAAAAATCCAACTTTGGGGCACAGCATTACTCAGTTGACCAGTCCCACTTGCCTTGCCTTGGATGTCATCTGGATCACAACTATTCTAATGCAAGTCATGGCTACTTTGTCCTGCAGGGGCCAATATGCCCATTCTTGGATTCATTAAACCTTCCACTAGATGAAGAATAAATTAAAGAGAAGAGATTACCCTCAGTGAAACACAACCTTATTTGTGTTTTTCCGTTCAAAACCTTTGGTAAACAGAAGCTGGGACTTGGCCAAACCACTTAATGTATATTTTACTTGTTTATGATAAGGAATAGAAGTTCCTAAAATATAGATCTGTGAAGTACCTATCGAATTGTCAGTTGCACAGAGGATCATGTTTGATAAAATTATGCTTCAAACATGATTAGAATGTTTTAAATAAAGATGAAAACTAACTTATAGGTTTTATTCCAGAAGCAATCCGCTGAAATAGCAGGTCTCTATTATTCATCAGTGGCTCTAGTGCACTATTATGCAGCTGCAGGGATTTCACAACTGCAGATAACACAATCAATATTACAATATTGAGATAATTTCCAGAAAATCATCTTAGCTTTTGTTTTGCTTCCTTTGAACTGTTTATTCTCTAAGAAGCTTTCCCACTATCCTGGTGTGAAGGATCTGGGAAGAATGGGGAGTTATAAGCACATTTTTTGGTTTCATGCTCTGCAAGAAAGTGAGTCCTTGGTGTTTTCACTTAGGGTTAAGCTAGACAAGATATAAAAGATGCAGTCCTTAATTGGATTGTGGTCAGGGAGTGGAAAAAAAATTAACTCTTTAAATCTACAGCTCCAATTCAGGTTGTTCTATAGCCCACCCCACGGTTACAAATTATGAAAGGGCAGACATAAGTATGCTTGACTGAGCTTGTGACTCCAGATGGAAAAAGTTTAATAACACTATCATTCCTACTTCCTTATTCCCTGGGCTATGCTCTGGCTGCAAGCAGGAGTCTCCCAAGATTGTTTTAAGCAAAAGACAGATCCTAGGAGATTCAGTTGGAGATGTCCTGCATCATCTTAGTTGGCCCTTAGCTCCAAGGAAAACTAAGAAACATGTCTTGACCATAGAATGCAAAGTCCCCTTGGTTATTAAGAAACATTCCTAGCTCTTCAAAAAATAGAATAATTTAGATATTAAAAAGCTTGTGTTTAAAATGTTGCTTTGCACTGATTTATATATTCATTGCCTTTAAGCTTACTGTCTTAATGCTGGCTACAGGCTCTGGAAGTGAGAAAGACCCCAACGAAACTTCCTCTAAATATCACAAGAAAATGTTGCGGACATATAATACATCAACATGACAGCATAAACCACCTGTCTTGCGTATTTCAAGCCCCTTGCAATTTCAAAGGTTCATATGCCTTTGGAATCCAGTACACCATTAAAATTTATGAATCAGAATTAAAATGTGCTTCAGCTTCAAGTCTAGCTTCTGAGTAATTCCTAACAACGAACAATCTGACACTTAACTTAGCAGTTATATTTACCTGTATTCATTTCCTCAGCAATATGCAAATCATCTGTTTGAACAACTTGATCCAGCATTTCAAGAAAATGCTCTTGAATTTCCCTGACTGTCTCATCACCAAACTTATAATCACAAAGTAACACATTGGATCCCACAATGGGAGTGAAAACTCTACAAGGTAAGACGTGATATTCCCTTTCAGAATCTAAAAACAAAGACAGAGAATCCCATGTTAAAAACATTAAGAGCACTGCTATATACTATACGCTGTGTGTGGATGTACACATACTGTTTCTTTTACCACTGTAAAATATCTCATATATGGAAGAAATACATATACAGTATCACTATTACCTTTGAATAAGTGTATCTCATACACCAGCAAACTTCCAGCATCCAATCTGATATTAAGTTTGATTTCCAATATTTTTAAGAGTGCACTGAAGAGTGCTGCATGAATCTTTTGGGTTAATTGCAAGAGATAAAGGCAAGAGATAAAGGCACCGATGATACTACTTAGCTGGGTAATTAAATGTCTGCAAGCAAACAACCAAGCTCAGAGAGGACCAAGGACTCCACAGTTCAACCCTGAGCTACAGATATTCTCTTCTATTGAGATAAAGGTGGTACTTGGAGAATCAATGCTGCCAAAACTCAATTTCAAAATGGCTGAATTTCAGCATCACAATTAGGTCCAGGTTTTTTGTTTTGTTGTTTTTTTTCCCCTATCAAAGATAAGGGAATTTTAAGAGTGGGAATGGTAAGAGTGGTTATTCCTATCCATGTCCCTTCCTTAAAAGCCCCTCAAAAGGGCAAAGAGTGGATGGGGAAAAACCATCCATACTCCTTCTGATGACTTCAGAGCATCCTTGGGTTGTCTGTTGTGACCCTTCCAAAAACTGGGCGGCTGGATTAAAGCCCCCAGCATCCAGACTTGAGGTAGATTGAAGCAGTGATTGTCCTCGGAGGCCAATTACCGAGTACGTCTTATCAAGAGGCCAGAAAATATGATTCATCAGTAAAGATGTGCGGGTTTTCTTTTAACGAAACAAATTTGGGAGTCTGGACCATGGGATTTTTATTATTACGATTAGCTTCTCAAGTGAGAGAGGGAAGACAGTTTTATCTGACATAATGCTTTTCCCATTTTTGATACTAGCCAAGTACTGCTTTCTGGCCAGAGCAGCTTACTAAGATTAGAATATCTTTTCAGTCCATGTGATCAAAGGCATATTCTCCGTGAAAGCTAGGACACAGTGAATCAAAAGGCTGTCGCTTTTGCTGCAAGAGAAGAATAGAGGTAAGAATAGAGATATTTGCCACTGTAGTCTGTGACACCAAAAAAAGGGTATTATTAAGGAAAAAAGAAACATGGAAAAGGGTGGAATGTTTTGAGGAAAGGAAAATAATTCTGAACGGCTTATGTTTCAGCAGTAAAATACAGTTAGCATATATCATATGTTTCACATATGTATACAACATATGCCTCTGAAAAGGTAACCAAAAATTATAAGCCACTTGGCTATATTAGTTAAAGGTGAAAGCTTTCCAAAAAACCAGGCAAATTAGGATTATGAATAGCTGTCTATTTCTATTCAGTTCATGCAAGAGTGTAGGAAAAGAAAAAGGCAAGAGAAGCTATCTCAGTTTCTACTATAGGAGGCCCCAGAAGATATTCTGCTTGACTTCGTTCTCTAAAAGGCAACAGAAGATCTCATGGCAATGCAAGCATCCCCAGCTTCTGGGGATTGGCAGGCATATTTGGTATGTTAAGAACATGCAGTAGGTATACTTGCAAAGAAGCATATTCCCTTACAATATGGCTGTTGTATAGTACGTACCCAGTTGCCAAGCATCAATTGTTTTTATTGGTTTTAACTGTTTGGTTGTGAACTGCCCAGAGTCTCTCCTTGTGGGGGAGTTGGGTGGTGATATAAATTAGATAGATAGATAGATAGATAGATAGATAGATAGATAGATAGATAGATAGAGATAGACAGACAGACAGACAGACAGACAGACAGACAGACAGACAGACAGACAGACAAGCATCTCCCTATCCTCTCTACATTCCCAATGGTCTCCTGTTACCATCGTCACCTTTCTGGATAGGGGACGCACTTCTAAATAAAACACGAGGCAGCAGCCATTCACCATTTTCATTTTCTAGGGAAATTTAGGGAGCCCTTTAGAGCTTTCTTGAAAAAAAGATGAATCGGGAACTGGCACTTTGCTTTGCAACATGCAAATTTCCAAGTTTGTGGTCTGTTTGTGTGTGCGTATATATATATGTGTGTGTGTGTGTGTAAATATTAGGTGGGTAGAGACACACTGGCACACCTCTTCACCATGTTGGGGATTCCAGGCATAACGCTGGGATGCCTAATACAATTTGCTTCCATGTAGGGCAACATAATTTGTTAGAAATACAAGTAGGTTCTAGTTTTATTCACACATCCCTTACCCAATTTTCCTTAGATCAATATTCTAAATATCGTGAGAGAGAAGTCCAAAATTAAAATACTTATAAAAAGCGTATTTTTAGGAAAAATGTATAGAATAATGCACAGGCAATGTTCATGTACTTTCTAAAAATCACAAGATTGTGGAAACAAGCTTGAACAAAGTTAGTCAGGAGAAACTACATTACATTTTTAAAAGCATCTGATTGTGTTATTGGGCTCCTTCTTCTCTTACCTTTCTTTCCTGGCATTTCATTTATGAGCAGATCTTCAAAGAATATTTCACAACGATCGGACAGCGTGTTTATTATGTCTCTCTTCAAGGCCTGCAAAGGCAAAAACAGAATAATACAAGCTCTGCATGTGCGAGACCCACCATTCTGAGGATCAACCCTGGAAGATCAAGGTGGTCAGGAAGAGAAATGAAGTGCTCTGGAGCATTTTGTTCCCAGTTTTGTATATTCGTCATACATACTCAGTCTAAAACTTATGAAACAGTTGAAATCATTGCCAGGGAATATACAGACTCTGAAGAAAGCCAAATGCATCCATCTTTGCGGAGAAATGAGAATCTGTGTGATAAAAACAGGTTACATGGCACACTGTGAAAACTCAGCCTGCCTTCTGGGCTTGACTGCTGGTCAGTTTTGGGAGGGTGGTCACAGAAATGGCAACAAAGTTCTTTGGCTGCACTTATTTTTACAAGATCAAACTATGAGAAGAGAAGCACCTGCTGATGCACATCCTGTCTGATTATAATTCATTCAGCAGAGGAAGACTGTGGCTATCACTTTACAGAAATCAGACAGATAGTGAAAGTGGATTGAGCTCCCCTTGGTGCTCTTATATGCATAGATTGAAAGCAAAGACAAGAAGAGCATCTCATTCTCATCATCTTTTATTTCCTCAGAAACCAGCAAGAGGTTGGCTGTGTTCATATATCACACTGTGCTAGAAGATGATTTGTGCAAACCCAGTGACTGATTTGTTCCAATAAAACACAGCATAAACGAACCATGGCTAGCTGCACACTACTCGAGTCATAAAAAACCCATATAACAAGACCTCCCAGATCTCAACTTGAAGAAAACTTTAGAATTAGCTACACTTCCATTAAAAAATAACTTTTAAGACCATCACCCACTCATTATGTTCACTATCCCCAAAATGAGCATTCCCCAGTCTGATGCTTGCAGATGTATTTGGGACTACAAATGACAAAACTACGGAGGGCTAATACAGATTTTGGCATTTTTAATGAAAAGCATGCATGGAACTTCTGGGGCAAGAAATTTGGACTATTGCAATTATATCCCTTATTTATATTAATTGCAGGTTAAATCACAGATTTTGGATGGAACAGGAAAACAACCCAATTCTTCAAAAGAGGAAGGGTAATAAAAGTACCTGAACGGCGTCTTTAACTTTAGGCTTGTTATTATGGATGTAAGCTTTACATTTTAAAGCTCCTTTAAGATTTATGGAACCACTGCAGATTTGGACTGTAGCTGTAGATCTGGAGTTTGTACTTTGCATCTGAAACAGAGAGTACACAGAAATCACAATTATTATATTTTAGTGTACAAAATATAATTATATAAAATATAATATTTAAGCCAATTCTACCCTGCCTTGAAATAAAGGACAATAAACAAGATAGCATCACCCCAATTACCTCCAAAAGGCTCTTTGGTATAGCTCTGTTTGAGAGGGGGATAATCTCATTTCCAGAGGGAGGCTGTTCCATAAAGTAGGTGCCTTCAGTGAGGAACAGCATCATTATTTTTCTAAGTTAGAAAATGCTTAATGCATATTCTTTATTAATATTTATTAGAGTGATCTGCACTAGTATTGAAAGATAACGGACTACCTACAGCCTCCTAAAGAAGTTAGCAGAAAGATATTTCAACCAGCTTTCACCTTTTAGCAACCATGCTACAGTTTCAAGTTACTCACAGAAAGTAAAAGTGTTACAGAAAAAAAAAAGGCAAACTCTCAGAAAAAACTTCTACCGCTCAGTAGATCTTCATTATTCTTAGGTTTGCTGAGATGGAGAGCCAAGACTGATAATTAGCAACTTACAGAAGGCTATGAACTGATATGCGAGTTAGATCTGAATGGAGGATGCCCCACCTTATTCTTAACCCCTTTGTCAATAGGTTTACTTACCAACTGTGTTAAAACCCTAACATCAAAGTTCCTAGCAGCCGATGGCATATATCCTCTTGACTTTTTCTGTAGGGATAATTCAAGTATAGAAGACAGCTGAACTGAGAAGAAAATTGGTAAGGTTCAAAGGCTAAAACAGAATCTACAGAGGAAAAAACATTTAGACATTTGTGTATTTTATTAGGTCTTAGCTGTTGTGATGTTTTACAAAAATCTTTAATGAATTGGTGAGGTTTTCCATCCTTCTGCAGACACTTATATTTCATTTCATAGGAGACAACAAACATTCTACAGTTCGGCTCAGTTCTAGACAGTTAATACTAATATATATGCCTTTGAATCAGTCTTGACTCCTGGTGACTGCCTGAACAAGTCTGCAGTTTTTTTGACCAGATTCTGGAAGTGGTTTGCCCTTGCCTGCTTCCTAGGGCTGAGAGAGAGTGACTGGCCCAAGGTCACCCAGCTGACTTTCTGCCTAAGGCAGGACTAGAACTCCCAGTTTCCCAGTTTCTAGCCTGGTGCCTTAAGCACTACACCAGACTGGCTCTCTAATACTACCAAGTATTAGATTATTTTAAAAATGTACTCAAAGTGTGGGAGAATATAGAATCAGCCAGGCACAAACTATGTTTGTTTGTTATCAGCCTTGCATGTAGAACCATGACCAACACTCTGGAGTGTGTAATGCTTAACTTCAAAGAAAAATCTGGTGATGATAGGGTTTTTTAGTTTGGTTTTTTTTTTTTTTAAAGACAAAAAGGTATAAATACTAGTCATTCTACAGATATTGTAGATTGCATTCTCAAGTGATGTGACCTTAATCTCTACTTTTATGTTAAGGCACATATCAAAATAAAGTTGCAATCCCAATTTTGTACTTCCTTGAATGTTGTGATGCAGTTTATAGTTTAAACACTTTCCAGATACAAATAAATCAGAGCAGGTACTATGTAAGGATTTTTTTTTTCCTGTTTTGGTACACAAGCAGCATCTAAGAAGAAGAGGTTAAACTCTACTCTGATTTAGGACAGCCTAAGACTATATATAACATCTTTTCAGTAACAAATTAAGAATAAGGATGAAGAATGGAAGCTTGCTACAATAGATGGGGAGGTCCTGGAAGGAAGAAAGGCTGATAGATTGTTTTTTTTAATTAATATTTTTTTCTGAGGACCAATATGACAAAGATAATACACAGGATCCTGATTGGGTCCAATTTTCAAAAGCATCTTATCAATCAGTGTAAATAGAAGAATGGTACAGCAGAGTGCCTGGATCAAGAAGAGACACTAGCAACTCAGTTTCTGTTATTAAAACTGTGAATGAAAAAGAAGTGAGGCAATTTGAGAGTGTTTTTAGAGGGAGCAAACAGATTTACTTGTTGAGATTACAATACTCTCCTAGGAAACTGAATATTAACAGATTCAGGTTCTGCTCCTACTGATTTCAGTGTAGTTCTGCTAAGATAATTAGCATTTATATTCTGTGGTTCCTTGATACACTAAATCAACAGGAGTGGAATTAACTCTTCTGACCACAGGTGGAATAACTCTGCCTTTTTGGGTAAGACTGTGATCTTGTCCCTCCCTATGGGAAATGTAAGGCCATACTGTAATATTGTCTATGTGTAATGAACCAAGCTTATCCCTGATCATTCTGGATAAATGCTTATGTGACAGGCAATGTTGAGCTTTAGTTAATTTAAGTTATGGAAACTCACCATAGGAAACACATTCCCTGAACCAATTATCTGAGTCAATGAGCTGAGATTGGTTGGTACTGTAATTCTGGGAGATTCCACGAGGGGAGAACCTCTGGTCACTGCCAGGAGACTGGTTTCTGTGGGAAGGACTGAAATGCATCTTTTATTTGCTATGTGAGTTTGAAAAGGAAGTAGAAGCTGTGAAAACAGTCAAGCATGGAGATATGCTCATAGGAGATAGTTAAGATAGGATGCCATCAGCCCCAAGAGGCATGAGCTGTTCCTTTTCTTCCTCCTTCAGTAGAAGAATAGCCTTCTGAATCTTTAGAACTCTTTCAGGTGACAGGGGAAGTTTCTCTTTTTTAAAAATAGAAACCAGTGATAAAAAAGATGATGCCCTCTACCAGGATATCCTTAAAAGCATTGTTATGAAGCCAAGGTTTGCCCTGAATGAGACATCAGCCTGCCAATGACTCACCCAAAGGGAACTTCTGACTACAGCTATAATGATCATGTATCTGCTGAAAAACTAACTGCATCCATTACCTATAAAGGAATACATTTTATACACCTTAGTAATCACTTCATGGACCTTGATCCTATCCAGATCATTATCTTCTAACAGATCATCAGAAGAGACAGTTGTGGCAAAAGACTCTTCAAGACAGACTTGCAGCTCTGTGCTCTGTTACAAACTAACTCTGACCATCTTTCTCCAGGATCTCTTAAAGGTGCATATCCATCTTTGAGAACTAAAGCACCTGAAAGTACAACTACAAGTGTGTTCACTAAGGGAACATTAAGAGCCTGCAGAGTAGGACTTAAGATCCAATGAAAGCATAAATATGCTTCAGTGAAACCATTTAGGCCATGGAGATTATCCATTTCACTTCACATAAGCAAAAAAAGCACCCAATTTACTTTGACAATGCTACAGGATCTGACAATGCTTAGCCTTCTCCCCAATGTTGGATGTAGTTGTTCCAGGCTGGGTTGCTTTGGGATTATGTGCAGCCTTCACCAAAACTGCCCAGCCTGGAAGACTCTGATGTGCACCAAGGAGGCTCCCAGCTATATCCTTTTGGCACATACCACAAGCAATCCTGCAGTGCTTACTGTTTCCACTCAGCCTGAAAGCAATTCAACCACACAGAGAAAGAAGGCTCCTCTCGGCCATCTCCTCCAGTCCTATCTGGTCACTGCTGTGGGACAAACTCCGCTCAGAATGCTTCCAAGTTGGGCAACTTTGGGATTGCCTGCATCCTTTATCAAAGCTGCTCAGCTCACCTGCAATATGCACCAAGAGGTGCTTTCAGAGGACACTGAGGGCAATCCTGCAACATTTGTTGAAGCCACTCAGCCAGGAAACAATTCAGGCAACCACAACTGTAGAAAAGGCTCTTCATCAGTAGTACGAAAGGAAGTCTTCGAAAGACGAGAACCATGTTGCTTTGTGAAGCAGCTCTGAGAAATTCCTCTATGAAAGAAAATATCCCTCTAAAACTTCACACAGTGCTACTGCATAGCTTCCTGCATAAATAATTATTAGCAAATTTGAGTTCTTTCCCCCTGTAAAGGAACACCTTATTTCTTTGAATCGGTTGGATAAAATGATGATAGCAAAGTATCTCCATGGAAGAATCCTTCACTTCTTGGAAGAATAAGGCCCTCTTGATTCCTAGTGAGTGCCTATTGGCATGTTGGGCTTAAAGTTTAAATCTGCTGTTGGGTTAAAAAGAGGGGAAATCATCTGAATTTACCACTGCCCGATTGATCTGTTCACTGATTGACTGATCCAATAATACAGCCAATTGGAAATCAAGGGAAGGAATATCTGGCCCACATCTCAGCACCACTGACAGCTGGGAATGGAGTTTTAGGTCAGCAGAAACATTTTGCTGAAGTGATCTGGTGCCACCTTGTGGTTAATCATGCAAACAGGCAGCAGAGAAAAGGGCATTTAAAGGCACTGATAGGAAGGCAGGGATAGTGAAAGTTGGAGACTATCTTTGTCAAGGCATTAACACTAGGATTTTGCCTGCAGAAGGCAGCACCAGCATTGGATAAGGAAGCATTATCAGAATCATGGGATCAAACCAGCAGGGATGATCTCACTAAATAGTTCACTATAAGAAGAATCCTTTAGAGAAATATACGATAGAAACTGCTGAGGCCATGAACAACTTCATAGCATGTTTCTATGCATTCTGTGCTTTGATTACAGACTGGAAGCTAGTAGCAGTTTTCTGTTGCTGATCAGACCACTCTGAGGTGGTGAAGAGTACAATCCATGGAGTACCCAGTCATTAAACCATCTTTATTTGAAGCCATCAGTAGAGACAGGAATAAGGAAATAGAAGAAGAAGACATGAAATAAACTTTTTTTAAAAAAAGAGACAAAACTAAACATAATTATTGGTATTCTAGGGAAAATACGGAGATAAAAGATGAGAGAACAGCTAAGGATCATTCTAGGCTAAAGCAAGAAATGATGAGGGAGAAGCCTGAAAGAGCTAACATAACAGCAGACTTTAATTATGCAATTTTTCTGCTGTGCTGAATGGTAGGAGAGTTTAAAACAAACTGGATGCCTTCAAGTACCAAAACAGGAAATGTGTATTTCACCATAAACTATACAGAAAAGTTTATGAAGGAGGTTAGAGGGGAGAAGAAAAATCCAGATTAAACTAAAATAGATCTCTGAATGTATATATGCAAAATTGAAATGGAGAAAAGAAAAATTAATGTACCCATCCTTGTGACTTAATAATGCAATGCAGCTCCAAAGCTGCTGTTCTTTAATGGAGTATTTTCTTACATAATTTTTCACAATGTCCCAATTCCTGAAATGAGGAGATAAAACCTTCTTCTCAATTTCTATGTGGGTAATACTGTTTTTTTTTTTTTACCCAAATGTAACTTTAACTCTATGAGATAAGGTTCTAGGGCTTGTTTAGACATTCCGATATGAGGCCTAGTGAGATTTATTAATCTTAGCTAATGCCCATTCATAATCAATTAAAAAAAAACTAACTTAACACACCATCCAAATTGGATCATTATGGATTATTAAATTACCACAATGTCAGTGTACCCATTTGGCATGCTACTGCTTGATCAAAGGAGGCATAATTTTGGGATTAGATACTCGTTTGGCCATCTTTCTTTCAAAAAACTTAAATGGAAGTTCACATAAACAAAAGTTTCAATTGTTTTCAATAGAGCAATGAAAACCTATCTTGCAAGCTGCTGCAGAATACAATAGTACCATGTCTACATTGTTCACTACTTACCTGCCCTTCCAGTAAATCAGCATCTTCCTCTTTGACCTGACCATTTATCAAAAAGACAGCCGCCTCTATCTGTTGGGCCCAACGTCCTAACCCGTTCTATAAAACAGAATCAAAAAGAAAGGAGGTAATATTACTGAAAGATCTACTACATTTCTGACCAGTGTAAGTGAAATATGTTTTAACCAATAATCCTGAAAGCCTAAACTGAAGAAAGCTTCTCACTCCTCAGATGTTCTCTTCTAAATGTAATTTTAATAATTTTAGGACTGTAAGACGCCCCAATGAAGCAAGCAAATGGATTCCTTCTAATTTTTGATACTAGTCTCTAAAGAACAGGTATTAGCTGGCATATGCTGATACATCTACAAAAATGCTTGAGTAAAAGATATGACATGATCTCTAAGCCACTGGTAACTTAGCATTTCTGTTAGGATTTTCTCATGGGAAGAAAAGCACCTCGCTATCTTCAAACATATTGTTTTGACTAGAGCAATCACGCCACTTATTTTGGCCTTCTAGTTTGCACGTATACTGCTATTTACTGCCACCTATTGACGTCTGTATGCAAGTTACTCAAGGGGTGGTGCATAGTGTTATTTAAAG